CACATGGAAATCAATAAATATAAAATATCACATAAGGAGGTGCAACAACAAAAACCACATGATCATTTTACAAGATGGAGAAAAAACTTGTGCTAAAATCCAATATTCCTTCATAATAAAAGTCCAGAAGAAACAAAAAGTCCAGGAGGAACAAAGGAATGTCAAGATAACAAGCTATATATGGTAAACCTATGGCCAATGCTATATTAAATGGGATAGAAAACTCAAAGTGTTGCCACTCAAATCAGAAACGAGACAAGGGTGACCATTTTCTCCACTCTTATTCAATATAGTACCTGAAGTCTTACCTACAGCAAGAAAAATGAGAAGCAAATAAAAGAACACAAAGAGGAAAGGAAGATGTCAGAGTCCTTATTTGCTAATGATTTGATTCCCTACGTAAGAGGCCTCGAAAAGGCCAAGAAAAATTTTAAAACTGATAAACACATCCAGCAAAGTGGCAGGATTTAGCCTTCTTATATAATGATGATTTATCATACTAAGAAAGAAATCAGAGAAACAATTCCATTCACAATAGCCTCAACAAAACACACAAAACCCAGAAATAAACTAATCAAGGAAGTGAAAGGCTTGTACAATGAAATTTTTAGAACAATAAAGAAATAGATGAACTCGCACTGAGGAACATCTTGGGGCACTCACTTGACACAGTAGGCCTCAACACAAAAGACAGAATGTATGAATTTAGGTGGGAGGGCTTTGGGAGGGTGCCAGTGGGGAAGGGGATATAAAGATGATTAAGATTGGTTGAGATATTCTGTATGAAATACACAAGAATTCAATAAATTTTTTATAAAGAAATTAAAGAAGACACTAGAAGATAGAAAGACCTCCCATGCTCTTGGATTAGAAAAATCAATATTGTGAGAATGGCCATCCTACCAAAACAACATATATATTCAATACAGTAACCATCAAAATACCTTCGTCCTCTCAGGCACAGAGAAAGCAATTGCAAAATTCATTTTGAGAGCACTAAAGACTTCAGAGAGCCAAAGGAACCCTGAGCAAAAGGAGATGCTTGTTCATCCATGTTCGTTGCTGCTGTCTTCACTTTAACAAGGGAATGGAATCAGCCCAGATGTCCACCAATAAATGAATGAATAATGAAAATGTGCTACAATATATGCAATGGCATTTCATTCAGCCATGAAAAAATAGATTATGTAATTCACAGGAAATGGCTGGAACTGGAAAATGCTAATATTAAGTGATACAACACAGGCTCAGAAAGACAAACACCATATTTTTTTCTCATGGGTATCTTAGCTTCTAATTTCTTATATAACCTTATCTGAGTGGGAGGGAGGGAGACTAGATACCAGGAAACTAAACGAGG